TTGTGTATCCAGGCTAGTATTGTTCACATAGCATAGCTATCTGAGGATAGCTCTTAACTTGGGTGGGGTGTTCCCCTTGATCTAATCGGGTTTCCACATTTCTGCCAGGTTATGTAAGCGGACTGTGGCGTCAGTGGACTGGCCCCTTTCTGAGGAAAGGTTTAGCGTGGAGTTCCCTAGAAGGGGAACATCTCGGGTTACGCATGTAACCATGGTTCCCCGAGAGTGAACAAGACGCTGCGCCCCCTCGCCATGCCTTCGGCCTTCCTGTTTACATCTCCTTCAGACAACTACGTTGGTGACGTATTCAGCAGGTGCAATGATTAATAACTTTTCTGTGACCCTGACCTGAACAGAAGTCTTTGTGTCAGGTCAGGGTTATCATTAGCCCACATTTGACTGATCAGGGAGGAAAGTGACATTTCCTGTGCGTATTTTGCATGTTTTACTTTAAATATTGCAGTGATGAGTGACTGGTGTAATTTTCACATCAGTTTGTCAGTGAAACCATCTGTGCTGCCAGCAGTCGATTGAGCGTTAACTGCTCTGCCTTTACTCTCGCCTTTTCTTTTCACATTTAGTATTTGTGCCATGTCATAACTGAGCTGGCATGAGTTTACTTTCCATGTGTGAAAGACTAAGTGGCAGAAACTGGTCGTTTTTATGATTTAGTTGGATTTTACAAAGGCTGAGAATAAATTCCCTTTAGGAAATGATGAAGTGAGTAGTGAATTTGCAGGATGTCTGAAAATGAATTATTTTTCAAGTGTCTTGATCATCTGAAATATATGCAATACGAGTATGGACCCACTGCAGTGTCATTCAGAATTCATTGGGACTAAGATGAGCTCATTAAATGCCTTTACTTCACCTGTTCTAGTGCCCTCAGGCATCCTGCCAGCGTTTAGGCCACTGCTGTCCAAACCTTGCATGCCTTTCTCTGTGCTCTTGCCGACTGATTCCAGCCCTGGAGTGCATGGCCCTAATCCGGTTTGATGCCACTGGAGATACCGTGTTTTAAAGGAATCAATCCATTAGCGACTAATCGAGCACCAAGTTCTGCGTATTTTCCAACAATTCCCTCTTTGCACTGGGCCAAGGGGAAGATGAGCCAAAGACAGCAGCTGTGGTATGAAATAAACCAACATCAGGCCTTACTAACCCATCAACACCAAGCCAGCAGTTTCAGTCTGCTTTCTGTACTCTGGAATGTCCACTGGACCAACAAGATGTTTAAAATGATATATCCAAAATATATTCAAAGTAATTCTAATGGAATTAGGCAAAATTAAGAGTATTGCAATGATTTTTATGTCATTGATGACTCCTTGTACATGTGAGGATGTTTCAGTAGTGCCTTTAAATTTTAACTTTAGTTATTAAAGGGGTGTTTTATTTGGGAAATTTTATTGATTTCCATGAATCTATTTTAGTGAACTGATTCAGTTGATTCAGATTCAGCAATCAAGCTATATCGCCCTATTTAATTACACACTTTTCTAACAAGGTCTACATTGAAAGGATAGACCATGTGGTTTTAGACACCTATGCTATTACAGAACGATTTATCATATTTCACAGGCTTTCCAGTATGTAAACAAGCTAATTGAAGCAGACGCCCACTGAGCAAAATGAAGATGGAATAGATTGCTAGTATGAGCTGACCATCTGTGCATTGTGCCAGATAGCCATCTCACTGATAGTCTGAGGTGATTAATTAAAGCTAATAGCAGTTTTCCCTCCCATCTCCAGACATATTCACTTATTCAATTAGACTGCTGTTAGATGTTGGATTATTTTCTCTATTAAAAGAAATCATGATGATTTCCAAGTTATTTGCTAGGTATAAGAAAATGTTCCCATAATATTTATAGGTCAGTTGACCTGTGGACTAGTTATGTAAACTATATTTAATGGGAGAAAAAATTGCATCGTGATTCTATTTAGTTCGAAACACTTCATGTGTTGACATTTAATTTAATTATGTGATGTAGGTTGTGATGTTTTGATTCCAGTTTAACATTTATTAATTGAATTATATAAAATTTCCTTACATTTATTTAATTTTTTGACAATTTATTTATTTATTCATTGAGTGCATTTACTCACATTTAAATTTACATTTTACACTGGTTATGGTTAAGCCAACATTATATTATTTTATTGTAGAAAGGTCACTAATGATGTACGAAAAACCCAGTGGACACATTTGTTGCTTATTATCCTGATTTAGTTTTGCATTTAGCCTTATTACATATGCTCACATTTGATTGTGACATCAAGACTGGAGCAAAAACAAGTTATCTTGCATTGTTGGTTCAATACATGTCTATGTAAAAAAATGAGGTTGATATAATGAGCTGATTTTTGTTAGTGATTAACTTTTTTTTGCATATGTAAATGTACTCAGTGAGCAAGAAGGCTTGACTGATCTGTCTCAGTCAACAACAGAGAGTGGCTAAAGACGAACAGATGTTTGCTGTTAGTTGTGAGGCCTTTCTTCTCAGTCCTTGATTTTCAACATGTTTCTTCATTCAAAACCCATTTAATATATAAGACAACAACATTGTTATGAATTTGGGGTAGACTATGAGAAATCAGCTTACTGTAAGCATGTCTGGAGGAGGTCGGGAAATAGTTTAAAGCTGTTTGTGGCAGGTCCGGATGAGCATCTGTGGAGTGTTTATAGAGAACTTGGTGGAGTTTGCGGACAACACTAAGTACTGGATTTTTGTAATATTACAGTATATTTTGCATTCCAAGTCTTTAATATTTCATCACAAGAACAAAGTACTCATTACAAAATATGTTCGCTAGAAGTTCCTTTAGAAGTGTTTTACCCCTGAAGAAATAAATAGCTGTTTTAACAAGTGTTTAAAAGATATGCATGTGCTCCACTGTCATATGACTTGTTTAAGAAGCATGAATCACTTATCTACTAACTTTGTTAGGTGTCAAATCATGCAACAGTTTCTAAACACGTATGATACTGTTAATTCTGTAGTATACTGTGTAAATCTTTTCTGGCATATTGAATAGTCTCTATAATATGTGTTTGAGTGTTTTCTGTTGGTGCTTGTAGTAATACAGACTGCAGTATGACTTAATCCTGTGCTCAGAAACGCTGCTGTATTTGGCAATATTCCTTCCATTCCTTAATCCCAAGACTTTTACCAACCAAACACAGAGAAATCCCTGGAGCTGTCTGAGCTCAACACTGCTCACCTGCCGACAACCGCCTCACAAGGTCACACTGCTGGCCAACACTTTGTGGATTTTTCTTTCTTTCATCAGAACCTCACATTTTGCAGGATGTTTTGACATTTTAGAAACCCCTTAGTGAAAAACACTATCTTGATTTGAAATCGTATATTTTGCCCTAGAAATGTTATAATAATGTGTTGTATAGGTGTTGTATAAGGTGTTGTATAGCCTTCAAAACAAATAGAATTAACAGAAAAAAATTTATTAAGTTTGTATCCAGTATTTTAAGAGCTAATTGGCAGAAATAGTGTTCTCATGAGACAAAAAGATACAGAACAGCACTCGCACCTAATACGTTATCACCTAATGAAAACCCACAACTGTAATTTCACTGTAGTTTTTACATGATGGATATCCATAATAATGACCTGTTATATTTTCGACATATTTTCCCACAACATATTTTCCGATGTGCTCTCTCTCCGCTGGTGGGACTGTACTCACCTGTGTAGGGCCCTATGAAATACGTTTTAGGCCTATTTTTTCCCAAATTCCATTTTATATTTTTTCCAAATTCATTTTTTTCCGTTTTAGTTTTTCTGGATTCTGGATTTTTTGGATTGAATAATTAATTGAACCAAATTCTCAAATTAAACCAAAACCTTTAAATGTCTGTGTGATATGAGGCTAGTTTTACTGAAATGAAACTGTAAAATGCTCTGTAAAGTGACTCTCAGAGCAGTTCTGGAGATGTTGTTCATGTATATATGTCCTCATTTAGTGAGACGGCAGACTCTGAAATCACCGCAAGCGCCACGTACTTCAGTATGTGTGTAGTAAACAAAACCGCGGGTCTGCATCATTCATTAACACAGAACATGCAGGATTCATGTTTAAATAGTCTTTTTGTGGCTTAACATTTACAAATACTAGTCTGTATTTAAGTGTAATCACCTACGTTTGATTAATTCATTTAAAGTTTGACAAATTCCGTGACATTCTGCGTTATACAGTAAATTCCATTTTTATGAGTAGATTCCGTGATTCTGTCCGCACGATACAGAGAGCAGAGGAGAATTGTAAGCGCGTGACCATATCGGTTATTGGCTAACAGTGGGCATTTCATTAAGCACTGTATTACTGTATTTCCCCAATTTTTACATTGAGATTTCCTTTCCATTTTTTAACACTCATTTAAAGTACTTTTTTTAAAAACACTAATAATTTAGTAACAGCATTAAATATAATCATTAGGCAAAATAGCGTAGAATTTTACTGTTGTTTATTTATTTGTTATTTAATCCCACATTTACACAATATACTATGAACATTTATGGATTAATAGAAGAATCAGATATAAGTGTTTTTTATCTGATATAATAAATGTAACGAATTAAGAACCACTTAAAGTACCCAAAATCTGATTTCCTATCTATCTGTGCCACATTGTAGTTTAAAATGCCATTCTTGCAAAGATTTGTTGCATTAATAGTTGTTGGGGTGAGCTGAAAAGTTTGTTGCAACCACATTTTATGCCGAGCCAAAAGTTCTAAATGAGAAAGTAAGTCAAATACTAACTGGGCTGTAAAGATGAATCAGTAAATAACATACAGTATTGTATGAAAGAATGCATAAACAAGGTCTGTGGATGAGTTATTATCATTATGTGAGCAGATCCGTATAGACTTGAATAGTTCTGAATAAAAATAACAAACCTGTCAAACCACATTAAGAGTGTTGTGTATTAGTTTGCTGTAACCGTGCCATATTAATGTGCATTATTTTATGTCAAATTAATGAATTATCTGAAATCGCTCTTCGAGCATCATAAAGCTCTGGATGAAAAAGTGAGAGTTTTTTTTTTATTATTCATTTGGTCTTGTAATTAGGACTGCATGATATTGGAAAAAACTGACATTGGTATATTTTGTTTTCCTGCGATATGAAAAATACAGGAATTGTCACCGGATGACTTAAATAGTTGAATCATTACTCAAGTGATTTTGTTGGAGGGTGCATCTGCATAGAAAATAATAATACATTTTCATTCATTTTTTAAGTGTGAAATAATTTTAGGGCTGAATGGTTTGGAAAGTACTTAAAAAAAATGTTGTTCATACTTTGATTCCACATTCTCACTGTTTCTGACCAATTCAATATGACTATAAAATAATTATTTTTATAAAATAATGAACAAAATAAGAAAGATATTTTAATAATATGGTAATAAAAATCTAATTCACTTTAATACTAAGTACCAATATTTACATCTGTTAATGTAAATGTAAATTTACATTTAATTAAATCACAGCCATCGCGATTTGACAATCGCACTAAGCTATACTGCGATATCAATTTAATTTTGATATATTTTGCAACCCTGCTTGTAACATTTTAAAGAAACAAATAAATGCTTTTCATTAATGCAAAGTCAGTCTGACTATGTAACATTAGTAGTTAATCACATAACTGGAATTGGAATGAATGCTGACAGGGCTTTGTTGGCACATGTAAATGTGGCTATTAAAGTCTTTTTTGTTTTTCATTTGCACAGGTGCGTGAAAGGTTACGGGTGGCTCTTGAAAGGGTGACTACATTAGAAGGACAGCTGGTAGCCGCCACTCAGGAGGTACGGCCGTTTTTGTGTGTGTGTGTGTGTGTGTGTGTGCGTGTGTTTAGGTATGCATGCACACTGGTATGGATTTGCTGATCTCATTAACATCTGTCCAATGAGCACCTGCCCCCCGCTGTCAACCCATGCAGGAAATGCACGCAGCCTGTTTCCATCACTCACATGCTGCTAAGAGTTCAAGGAAAGCCAGTGCACTTGACATGCTTTAGATTTACACGCTTTCAGAACTGCACTGGAACAAATACTTTTAAATGACAATTTAGACTGACAGTGTCAAACAGGCAACTTTTATGCTATATGTTTAACACAAAAAGTTTAATAATTAAATAAATAAATAATAATTAAAAAATGTGAGGCTACATAGAGGCAAATCAAGGCCTAAAATTAACCCATGAATTATAAAACACAGAAGAAAAAAAACATACTAATTCAAAGTGATTCCGTAGAATGAATGTGACTCTCCAGTGCTACACCATTTAGGATGATCCAGTTCACTGGAATGAATAAAACGTTCAAATCGGACCATTTAGGTGAGCATGAGTTATCCCTCAGCTCAGATACTAAAACAGAGATGTAGCATTTGGTTGCATTACTCGAACCAAATTGGTCCTTGTGGTGGATTGTGTGTCATAAAACTCTTAAAACACAATCTTTCTTTCATCCCTTCCTCCCAAACCTGATTGTATTGTCCTCTTACTGGAGATAAAGAGACTGTAACGCTGCGGATTCTTCACTCTATTTTGTAGCTGTCTTGAATGCTGCACTCATACAGTAGAGGGTTTTGAGGGATTCTTATGAAGCGGTGTCTCGTCAGCCTCCTCTAATGCTCTAATACAAACGAGCTATAATACAGAGAGCCTTGTGAATATGTAAATCACATACCTTCATCCAAATACTGGCATGCAAATTAATGTGTACATATTTTAATTGTCTTTCTCCAATTTACACATTCAGTGGGTCTGATATGCGATGATTCAAATGCAAATGGACCCACCAGTATTTCATTAATACCTTCATAACATGTGGCTTTTAAGCACAATGATAAGTTAATTCCTCAGTTTGTATAATCTTATCTCCCACAAGTCTCCTAGCCTGCCTTAAGAAGACAGGAACAGCGCTCAAATGCTATTAGAAGGAACACTATTAAATCCCACTATCACCCAAAATGTACATCTTCATAATGTGCAATTGTAAAAAAAAATGAAGTGCATCATTGCCTCTGCTGTGGTTCGTGAACAGTAATCATGTGCTATGCCTCATTTAATGTAGCATGAATGCTGTGTGGTACTGTAGGTTAGTTTAACACATTTAACAACCTTTATAGAGGGACTTTGGTGTGTTTTTGTTTATCTAGGTGGTCATGTTGAGACAGAGAAAGGATGGACAGGCGGATGGGGATGCTGTGGACAGGATGGACAGCTCTAAACCTACATGGAAGGTACATGTGCTGTAGTTCTTTTAAGTTGGATTAGCATAAATTTGAATATTTTAATTTTGGATAGTGCTTAAAATAACAAATTTTTGTGTGCTAAAGCGATCTAAAGTACATTTCTACAAACATTTACTTACTAATAATATTTTACATTTAAAGGGTAATATCACAAAGACATTTTCGTGGAACTTAAGGATCAAAGAGACTGAAAATAGCCATATAGAGTAAAACTACATTATGACTAACATAAGTGGAGGGAGGAAAATAGTAAAAACAAAATAAATGATAAGACTAAAGCTAAATCTTTAACGGGGCATTCTGTACATTATTCTGTAAAATATAATGTTCAGTTATGACACAATGCAAATGTCTTGCCAAAGTAAACTACTGTTCAAAACTTTGGGGTCATTAAGATTTATTTATTTATTTATTGGAGAGAAATAATACTTTTATTCAGCAAGGATGCATTAAATTGATCAAACGTGACAGAGAATAATATCTGTAATGTTACAAAAGATTTCTATTTCAAATAAAACAATTTTTCTAATAGAATCCTGACAAATGTATATTGGTTTTTTGACAGCCGATGCTGATATCTTGGAAAGCAGGGTGGCCGATGGCCGATATAATTTTATTTATTTTAATTAATATTTAAGAAATTTAAAAATAATTTGAAAATGGATAAAAAAATGAATGTGTTAAATAAACATACTTATACTTTAGATGACTATTTAAGAAGTATTTTTCGGCCAAACAGGAAAACTTATCGACCGATGCCGATATTTAAAAAAAAAAGCCAAATATCGGCCGATATATCAGCCTTGGCGATATATCGCTCGACCACTAATCACGGCTGCCACAAAATATTAAGCAGCACAACTGTTTTCAACTGATAACAATAAGAAATGTTTCTTGAGCAGGAAATCAGCATATTATAATGATTTCTGAAGGATCATGTGATGGGAGTAAGGGCTGCTGAACATTAAGCTTTACCATCTCAGGAATAAATGTAATTTTTAAACGTACTTAAATAGAAAAGCTATTTTAAATTGTAATAGCATTCCACAATATTGTTTTTGCTGTATTTGCTCAAATAAATGCAGCCTTGGTGAGCATAAGAGACTTCTAAATGTTAGTGTATGGCCCCATAGGTTTTATCATTACTTACACCTTGCAACAGTTTATATCTGAGGCACTGGTCCAAAAGGGATCCCTCCTGCTCTAATACCTCTCTCACAGATGGTATTTTCTTCGCTACTGAGAAATAAACTGCATTGATTATGCGCCAAGTGCTTTTGCCCTTCAACCTTCAGCACAGGCTGCTAAATTGTCTCCTGTCTCTGGGTGTGACTCACTTCTAGCAGTCAGCAAGCCAACAGGAGTCTGGTCAATAGGAGAATTGTGAATTGCTCTTAATCTTTGATCCTGTGGTTCATTGTTTAAATATCACCTTATCTTTTATTTATGTATGTGAAATGCAATTTATTGATTTTCTGTAGTGCAAGATTTTTTTTCAATGCAGCAATATCGATTTTCTTATTAGTACACAAAATTAGTTTGGGAGCAGATATTAGATTGCGGTTTCATTATGAAAGTCTGTCTTTAAAGTCAGCATGAAAAGAAAATGTACCCTATTTTCTGTTTCTATCTTTTCTAAATGCATGTTATATGGCTTATTGTGAGTGGAACAAATTGACACTATTTCAAATTGACACTATTTCAACTTCATCCTGACTATAAGATGCTTTTTTTCATGTTAACGTATTTCCTATTGAAACAGGAGGTTGTGACAGGATTTAAAGCTATTACATTTGTAAATTTACTAAGATATAGAATATTTTTGTTAGCTTTTAGGAGTGCTGTAGCATATAGATGAGCTTATACTTAACAGAATCCAAATAATAAAACTCCAAATTTGATTTCATGGGGTCTTTAAGGAGCTGATTGTTGATTGTCAGACAGTCAGTGTTGTGTGTCAGCATTTTTCTGAAAGGTTACTGAATCTGAAACGGTAGCTAAAACTGCTCCTAATGAGGAAGAACATTGCCCTGCTGACTGTTTGATACTTCACCGTGTCTGATTCACTGTCTCTTCAGCAGTCTGTGTGTGTGTGTGTGTGAAGCTCTTTAAGTAACTTGTGCCATTTATTAATGGAGCTCTTCCAGATGTCATTCATGTTCTGGCTTTTGTAAGTTTATTTTAGATCATTACTGTCAGATATTATATATAAGCAGTCAGAAGGAAATCTGGACTGAGAAATATTTTTTTATATATTTTTTCAAAATGTAAGGGAAGAATAACCCTGATGGCTACTATTATAATTTCTATAATTGTATTGTAATAGAACAAGAGCAAAACATGTTTTGGTGGGTTTCTCCTGGGTGTTGTTTTAGCATCCGAAAGGTTGCGGTTCGTAATATTACACCTTTTATTACAGAGGAAGATAATGAAAATGCCTGCAGGCTTTTCCCAAACATACCTTTTTTGTGAAATGTACAATTGTAACAGAAATGTCTTACATTTATGTACATTTACAGTTGACTTCAAACTGCATGTGTGATTAGTAACAGTGAATCATATAGAGCTTGACAGAGAGGATGAAAGCAGACAGAAGTAGATTGCCAGAGATGGCAGACGTGGTCCAGACTGTGTGTCTCTCTGGAGAGCTGGCTCAAGCCTCCCTGGAGGGCAGAAATATGGCTGATAGTCCCTGTGGTTCATGGCTCATCAAATACTTGAAACAAAGTTTAGCCTGTCAAAGGCCGACACGGGTTTTTCTGCAGACTCCCAGTAGAGTGACTGAGAGGGTTCTGCAAAATGTCTGATAAAGCTATAAAAGTCAAAGATCATAGCATATGAGGGCATTTTTAAGAATGGGCATTTTGCACCATGTGAACTTTTTATGTGGGAGTTAAACCACATTTCAAGTTATGTATTGCGTTTAATAGCATTCTCTGGTAAAAGGTGGTTGAAATGAGTCATAATTGTGTCATAAATAAAAGACATCCTAGGTCTTGCTAAGTATCATTTCATTTCTGGCAATTAATATGTCCCAAATACACACATACATTTATTTATTTATGTGTGAAAATTATTTTGAAAGTCTATATTTTGACGAAGAGAGATGGTGGGGCTTTTTCAAATGTTTTTCAATTGTTTTCTTTTTCTTTTTTTACAATTTATCTTTATTATAGGCAAAATTGTTTGATAATGCTGGTCAGTGACAAGAGTAAAACAATTAAATCAATCCATACAGACATTTGAACATTTTTACACCTTTTGAAAATATTTTTACAGCCATAAACATTAAAGTGATAGACAAAGGTATTTTGTTTTATAGATAAAGGTAAATGAAATCTAATTGTTTTAATAAAAGTTGGTTTGTAGTTCAAGATAGCACCTGCTAATGAAATAGTAGAATTATTATATGATTTTAATGAAAAGGGGGATTTAAGTGGCACCGTATTAAATTAGTATATTTTGAGCAATTGCAAATGTAAATATAAGGGGTAAATGTTATAAAATGTGAGAGACAAGAAATTATAAATGAGTTGTCTTTGGCGGACTGCCTGCTGTGCTTCTGAATCTCTGAGCTCTCTCTGAAGAATTATTTAATTAACAGCATGTAATTCAGTTTAATGCCGAGAAGCACATCAGTGCCAATCAGCATTACTGACATCCACAAACAAATATGGCCAAAAACATTTCAGAAAGGCCTCTGTAAAAGTCCTTTTGTCAGCTTTACAGTAGTGATATAGAGTCAAGCACCCCCATGTGCCCTCATTAAATGTGCCTCTATGGAATTCTCCTGTCAGCCCTGAACTGGACGTTTCAGTTTTGAGAAAGCAGACAGTTTTTGGGGAAAAGATACATTTAACCAGGTTGTATTTTTGTTTCCAGCCTTGAATTTTAAGGCCTGCAAAATCACTAGTGTGGAGGTTTTAATTTGCTCGGCTGTATAAAGTAGGTGGATGAAATGCACGGTCACGATATGATGCATGCGAGAGAACCTCTGAACTCCTGAGGCCATAATTGCAGTCAAGCTGTTTAACTTGCTGACTGTGTTTTTCAGACTCTGACTCAGCGTATTTTGCCTCTCTGAAAATGATTTAGAAGTTTATTTTTGCATTCTGAAGCTCATTTGGGAACCTAAGTGGAAATCAGGGGACCGATAAACAAGTTTTAAAGTTCTCGACTAGGTCTCCATTGCATCACTAACATATCTTTATGTTTGTGACAGAGGCTTCCCAATGGCTCCATCGATGCCCATGACGACACCAGCAGGTCTCTGGAGCTGCAGGAACTCCTGGATAAGGCCAATAAGGAGCTGGGCCAAAACAGAGAGCGGATCAGCAGCCTGACCAATCACATGTCTGAGCTTGAGATGGAACTGGCTACCGCCCGCAAAGACCTACTGAAGAGCGAGGAGATGAGTGCCAAGCACCAGAGGGACATACGCGAGGTTAGAATGATTGGGGAGAGAGGAAAGAGACAGAATGGGGACAGAGCGATGAGGGCTTGTCTCAAGGAAGACAAAACATCAGGCAGTGAGGACATTTTCTCAACAGCTTTATTTTTGCTGAGAGACAGAAGGTTGCAAATAATGCAATTATGACTCATTCCTTGGCTAGGTCTAAAGATTTAGGGTATTTAAAGGAACTGTTCTCCCCAAAATAATTTACTTTGCAAACCACTATTAGTTATTGTGCCTTGTGTATATGTACATGTATATGTGTATGTGTATATTATGTATATGTGACATAAGGGTCCATTTTTTGAAATTTAGATTTTTTTTAATTGAGAATAAATAAGCTTTCTATTGATGTATGTTTTGTTAGGATAGGACAATATTTGGTCGAGATACAACTATTTGAAAATATGGAATCTGAGAGTGCCAAAAAATCTAAATATTGAGAAAATCACCTATAAAGTTCTCCAAATTAAGTTCTTAGCAATGCATATTACTAATCAAAAATGAAGCTTTGATATATTTACGGTAGGAAATTTACAAAATATATTCATGAAACATGATCTTTATTAATATCCCAATGATTTTTGGCATAAAAGAAAAATCGATAATTTTGACCCATACAATATATTGTTGGCTATTGCTAGAAAAATACCCATGCAGCTTAAGACTGGTTTTGTGGTCCAGGGTCACATGTGTATATGTGTGTGTGTATGAGGACTTTGCCTCCTCATTTCAGGACACCACTGCAGCACATCACTGAAGACTGTCATTCCAGTTATGACTTTCTGATAAAAAAAAAAAGTTAAACATTCACAGGTGAAGCATTCAAAATAAGATCAATAAGGTGTATTAAGAAAATAGATTCTAAGGGTGCTTTCACACTAGCACTATGTGCGCACCCGGGTTCGTTTGACGTCAAGAGTTGGATAATGTGAATGCTGTTTTCTGAACCCACATTCTTTTGAATCTTTTGAATCATGACACATGAGCTGTTCTGTGTTAACACTTCAAGTTTCAAGCAAACAAATCTAAGTTTTCAAAATCCGAAGTACCAAAGTGAAGCGAGCAAGCGTCCATTAATTTTGCCGACTTCTGCATAAACGTTGCATTAGAGATAAACAGTTGACACTTTGATGACACAAATGCACTCTGGTAGTGGAGGTCGGATCAAATTCTAGTGAATTTCAATTGTATGCCGATTTTTATCAGTTTCATTGTTTAGATTACTTTTCCATAAGTTGTTGTAGGGTTTTCAAACTTCCCTAGAGTTTTTGTTTTCTCTTACTATGTGCCTGTTCGACAGGCGATGGCACAGAAGGAGGACATGGAGGAGCGAATCACAACATTAGAAAAGCGTTACCTGGCCGCCCAGAGAGAAACCACCTCAATCCATGACCTGAACGACAAGCTAGAGAACGAGCTGGCCACCAAGGACTCACTTTACCGACAGGTATGCCAACCTTGAATCAGGCCTGTGCTGATTTGAAGTTAATTTCAAGTATGAACGCTGTAGGTCTGTGCTGGTTGATGTCCCATAATGCAGTTGAGATGTTCTGAGAGTCATGTTCCATCTGTGCCTGTGCGTATGAAGGGTGCATGTTAGTCAGAGGGGGTTTAATTAGCCCTAAAGCAGCAGACTCATGCTGGAATGCTTCAGAATCCTTCAGCACACTGAGAAGAGGCATGCTGGGAGGAAGCAGGTACCGCCCGACTGTTTTAATATCCAGATTCATCAGCTGGAGAAAGAAAGAGGATTCCCAACTGCATTGATGTTGGTGCCAGTTTGGACAGAGTGTTTGTTATGAATGCAGTGGGTATAAATATCTTAAAAGAGATGGATAAATCAAGACATCTGCTCTTGTATAGACAGCATGTGTTTTGTGCTTTTGCGCTCAAGGCAGGGTTGTTGTCAGGGGGGGACAACCAGGAACGTTGCTTTGGGCCTAGCCCACTTATTGGGCCCAGGGAGAATTGGGCAGACCTAAAAAAAAGTGTTGTCCCAGGCCATGTGAATATTCACAGCGGCTCTGTTTAAGCATATGAGAATGAAAAACTGCATTACATCACATTGATTTTTACAGTGATAGATACAGTACCCTACCCTTAAAAAGTTTGGGGTCAGTAGATTTTTATTTTTTATTTTTTTGGCATTGAAGACATCCATAATGTTACAAACAATTGCTGTTCTTTTGAACTTTCTATTCATCAGAGAAACCTGAAAAAAATATGATCACAGTTTCCAGGAAAATATTAAGCAGTACAACTGTTTTCAACATTAATAATAGTAAGAACTATTTCTTGTGCAACAAATCAGCATATTAAAATGATTTCTGAAGGATCATGTGATGCTGCAGACTGGATTAATAGATGCAGAAAATTAAGCTTTGCCATCACAGAAATGAATTACATTTTAAAATATATTAACACAGAAAACAGTTGTTTTCATTTGTAAAAATATTTCACAATATTACGATCAAATAAATGCAACCTTGCTGAGACTTTCTCCAAATACATAATTATCTTAACGACCCCAAACTTTTGAACAGTAGCGAATAATCCAAATTTTGACTTTGAAACTTTCATTTGAATCATGTGTATGTACTTTGTGTGTTTGTACACTGGTGGTTTGTTTTTATGTGCACTTATATTTTGTGTTGTATGTGTGCTTCCTTTTTTAAATGTACTGTATGGTATGTTTTCGTTCACGTGTGTGTTTTGAGTACCTTGTAACCATGTGTGGGTCTTACCTTTGTATCTCAATATCTGTGTTCTTCTAAAATGGGGGTGTCTACATGAATGTACACCCTCTGTTTATCTTATTTTTGTGCGGTTTGCATGCACTTGTCTTTTTATCAGAGCGAGGAGAAGGTGCGGCACCTCCAAGAATTGCTGGAGTTGGCGGAACAACGGCTACAGCAAACTATGAGGAAGGCGGAGACTCTGCCCGAGGTGGAGGCTGAACTGGCCCAGAGAGTGGCCGCCCTCACCAAGGCGAGTACTCAGTCACTTCTCCAGACAACAGCAGCAGGAAAAAATTAGAGAGTCAGTTCATAAGATTATTTTCTGTCAGGAAAATGCCCTCTGAGATGGTGATGAAACAAATGATAAGGTAAAGAAGGGCGGAAACTGACATGAAAAGATTACACAGCAGGATTAGATATGAGATAAACAACAGAAGCTGTTCAAAAGACCCACTGAGACATGATTTAGAGAAACATCTAAAAGTTCTATGATGGGTCAAGACCCAATTTTAGGTTGCAGGTATGTTCTAACTGGATCATGGAAATCAGGAACAAAAAAAAGTGAATGGCATATTAGGCAGATGTAGATATTAAGCTAAACAATTGACATTAAGCAAATGCCAACATTGTTTAACCAAAGTATGTGTGGTATAATAAATACACCCCATATTACTAATATTAATATGGTGCTATTTTAGTTTATAACTTAAATTCAGTTTGATTCCAAGGCAATAGTTTTCATTTTCATTTAGTTTAAATTTGTTTTTATTTCAGTTAATGAAAATGTTGTTGAACAGATTTAGTTTTAATTTAATTTAGTTAATTACTCAATAGGTAAATCACATTTGTGCTATTGTTGATATCATGTTGATAATCTTTAATATTTTGGACCTATAGAGTTCATGGTACTTTAATTAAGATTGTTGTTTTCAAGCAATTTTGTTGGGTCTTTTCAGTGTTGGGTTTCCACTTGATGTCCAAAGTAGAATTTGGATCTTTAAAGGGGTCATATGATGCTGCTAAAAAGAACATTATTTTGTGTATTTGGTGTAATGAAATGTGTTTATGCGGTTTAAGGTTAAAAAAACACATTATTTTCCACATACTGTACATTATTGTTTCTCCTCTATGCCCCGCCTTTCTGAAATGCGTCGATTTTTACAAAGCTCATCGGTCTGAAAAAGTGAGGTGTGCTGTGATTGGCCAGCTATCCAGTGCGTTGTGATTGGCCGAATACCTCAAGCGTGAGACGGAAATGTCACGCTCCTCACCATACTGTGTTGATGCCCTGTCAGGCTGGAGCGATGATTCAAAAACATGAAAAACCATTATAAAGGAGGCATTCGTTGCATTCAGTGGGGACATAATTATGGATTTTAATGACTTGTACTGTCTTTTTACGCGTTGCGTTGCATCGCGCCGCGTAAACATAAAACCATGTCTGCATTTGTGATCGGAGAAACAACAAACAA